ATAATTATAATAAATAAATATATACATTTTTTATAAAATATTTAAATATATAAAGCATATTAGTGTACTAAAATGTTAATTAAGGTAAATAATAATATGTAAAAACTGAAAATATATCTTAATATAAAAAAACCCTGTAACATCAAATACATCTTATGTTAAATATGAATAAAAATTAGGAAAACAAATATGTTCTATATTTTGTACATATTATCCTCTGTGTGAGAGCTATAATTGCATATAATTCCATTAATGCTCTTGTGTATGAATAATAAAACAAGAAAAAGGAAAAAAATTATAGTGAAGCATTCAAAATTATCATTTTTTACGATGATTAAAATGAGATAACATTAAAACATATTTTCCTTAGAAGTAAATAACCAACATTAAAATTTCTTATTAATTAGAATAATAATGTAATAAAAACATTATTATTTAAAGGACATAGTTGATTTGTAAACATTTTTGGTTATATGATTAAACTGTGCATATTTTTTACAAATATGTTACTTGTTAAGAATTATTAATTTATATTTATGCATAAAAAAAGTGTATTATTTTTAATTATATAACATATTTCTTTTTAATGTGTTAAACTTATTTCTAAATTATATTATTATTATGTTTATATAATTATATAAGTTTTACGCAGTGCTTTTTTATATTAAATGTGATAATTTTATGATTATGACCAACAATGTATAATTTTTTATCTAAATATACATTTAAATTTTATTTTTATAAAAGATTATATGATTTTTTCTTTTGTTTTTAATTCAAACAATAGTATTTTATCTATAATTGTGATATAATATGACATATGTTATTACGTGAAATTATTCTGATATAATTCATTATTATGTAAAGAGAAAAATATAATTTCTCTTTCTATAATTCTATACATATTTGCACAGTTCTTTTTCTTGTACATAGATATCATTTATTTTTTTTCTATTATTATTGAGTGTATAAGAATTTTTTTTGTATTTTTATTATGTCTTATTCTTTAACACTATAATTTAACATAATACTATTTTTTCACATTATTTCAGTTAATATGTTTATGTTTTTTACTAGTATATTTATATAATTGAGAAAATATATTATACATCACAAATTAACAGGAAATATTTTTACTGTTGTATTAATTAATTATAGATTGTAAAACTAAATTTTTTAATTCAGTTGCATAATTATATATAAACAGAAGCTAAATATCCTTTTTACTGTGTCATTTTATTTTTAAAAGTTAATATGTTTTTACAAATTAATTTCATTCTGCTTTTTTTTTTAGGTATACTAGAATGTAATATTTTCTATGGCGAGTATAATGATTGTACCTTTTAATTATTATAATATAAAATTCAATATTATATTACTTGTATACAAAATTTTCTATGTATATGGTGAATATATGTCAAAAATAATATAATTTTTTATACTTTTATTTCATTTTTTTTTTCTTTAGCATGTGTTGATAAAAATGACCCTTACGAATTAAAAAACTATAGGAACACATTTATCGAAATCTGAGATTTTGTAAACATACTATTGTAAAGAACCTTATTTGAAAATTTTAAATATTATTATAGGTAATTCTGATAAAGTATACCTCAAAGACATGCAATATATACTTAAAATACAAATTGCTTCTACAACAGACTTCGAAAAGACGATCAAATATACAAGTACTATTGGTTATGTTATTACAAATAAAAATAATATAAAATTTCAAAAGTCAAAAAATTTTATAATACTTTTATAAATATGTATAATAAACGACGGAACGCTGTATGCAATGATTATAGGGAAGCTAGAATTTTTGATAACATCTTGAATAAGATCAATGATATAATTGAAATAAATATTAAACTTGAAAATAAGGAAAATAATATTTCAAAATAATGCTCAATTATATACATGAAATACCTGGAATAGTGCCAAACCAACAAATATCAGAAATTTTGTAATTTATTAGAAGAATATAAGAGTCGATACAATGATAAAATTAAAAATTCAAGTTGTAGAAATTTTTAATTCCAAATATTACCCTTTTTCCAAATATATAATATAAAGGCATATGTTTTAATTCTAATTATCATAAAAATAGTAATATCCATTTTCTTTGTAATTCTGGATAGTGTTAATTATAATATCATTTATATCTTTATTCCATTTAAAATAATTATTCTATATTATTTGTAAAATACATTACAACAAAAGTATTGTATTATAATTGTATATTTTTATTTTGATGTAGAATTAATTTACTACTTGAAATTTATCTTTGCAGCATAAAATAATAAGGAACAGTAATTACTATAATCATACAAATGAGAAAAGTACAATAAATCATTACTAAAATATATGGAACAATATATGTATAGACAGAAAATATAAGGTATTACATATAATTCTTATAAGTATTAAATATATAATTAATAAAAAAATGATTTCTATGTAATTATAGAAAAATTTATGAAAATTATATGCAATGTAGTTCTCTGTATAACTTTACATAATGATGAAATAATTATTAATGTATAAAAAAATGTACAGAAATAATTAATTCTATAGCTTAATGTGTAAAATATTCAAAAAAATGATGTGATGATGACATGAATCGTATTTCCTATAGGTACAAATAATGAATAAAAAAACTATCAATGATCAGCGTGCTTATCTTCTTTTTTTATGTTATATACTATATGAACAATAAAATTATAAAACCTAAAATAATTAATTTTAACCCTGGTATAAATATACTGTACAGGATAACGCATTAATGTGCGATAAAACTAGAAAAAAATAAAATAAGTGAACATAATACAAATTTTCCCCATACGTATAATAATATTTTCTTATATTAATGAAAATAATATTCCTAATTTTTTTGCTTACATGTGTTAACAAATTTTTTAAATATATATCTTTTATCATTTATATTATCACATTATTTAAACTTTTTTTTTATGACAAATAACACAAGAATGAACACAAAATATTATTAAAATACACTGTATTTTGAAAACTCTAATTTTATTAATTTCATTAAGAACGTATTTTATTAATATGATATGAAGGTTTGTAACAATTTTACTCAATATACTAATTAAATCCAAAGATATAAAATATAATGTCAATTATTAACAATAGCTAAAACTATTTTTAAAAATACGTCATTAACACTAATTCATGTCATATTATTTTAAATAGCAAAAAAAAATAAAACATCTGCTAATGTAGAAGACAAATATTATAACCTCCTTTTTTCATATATTAATCATTATTATTTACATAATAATATGAAATACTTTCTGCCTAAAAAAAGTAATTCAAATTTAACTTATGCCATATTTATAAAACATCATATTTTAGTTTTATATTACATACAAAAAAACACGTTATTTTTTATATTCTATGATAAAAGGCTTATTCTTACAAAAGATAAAATATTGAGGGCATTTAAATGCAGTCTTCTTTAAATTGTTACAGCATAAAATCGAAAATATATTAATTGCACGTTTACATAGTTTACGATGATATATATATACTATGAATAATTTAGAGGAAAAAAAACAAAAATATAGGAAAATAATATTCTATATCTTACAAGTACAAAGTTAAATATGAATATTTATATCAGTATACTTCAGTTCTTATTCACAGAAGTAATGTTTCATATGTTATATATTTCCTTATGGATATATATATCAGGATCCCCAAAACAATATTTTTATTAATAATATTATAAAAATATATATATATCAAAACCTGCAAAACGTAATTTATCCAAGTATATATCAGAATATAAAACAACATTTATAGAATAATTGTCTAAGCCTGTTAAATTTTGGAATAAGTTGTTATATTATTATACGTTTATAATTTTATATAGAATTGTAAAACATTATAAATATGATTTAGAAACACACTATTATTAAATTTAAAATAAAATATTGTATAATATTATAAAATAAAAATATCCACAATATATATAATGAAGCATAAATATATATAATTATGAATCTAGAATGCTATAATTTTTTACATTTAATAATAATATCATTATAAATTATAAATTATTTTATGTTATTCATATGTACTCAAAATTATATTAAAAAATATACATGACTTTTGCACGCATGTGTTTTGAATAAGTAAAGCTATAATTATTAATATAATATTAAACGTAAAAAATAAAAAACATGGAACCTAAAACAAAATCCTGAACTCTAATATTTATTATAAATATGATGAAATTATTGCATTCTTTTTAGTTATGTTTTAAAATATTGTGTATTAAATTTCATGCAATATTCAAAACTCATTGTAAATAAGATAGATAATTTAATATATACATTCCATTTAATAGTACATTTTATTATTTACCTTTTTCTAGTACTCTGAATGTTCATATAAATATATAAATTTTATATATTTTTGATTGCTATAACATTGTATATTGACAAGTTACAATATATTTTTTTTTATTAAATATTCTATACTTTTAATTTTTTCCTTAATATACTAAGATAAAAATATATTTTGTGTTTAAATTATATATACTGTTATATGTACGCTGTAAAAAGTTAGTTATTATTCTAATGAACTGTATTTTTATAATTAATTGACAAATATATTATATATAAAGAAAGTATATTATCATAATTACGAACTTCATTTTTTATTAGTGCTGTGTTTACAATAATAAATTTTAATATTCTTATATGTTCAAAATTAGAAAACATAAAATTATTGAATATGACAGAAAATAAGAAAGTTATTTACATTATTATAATTTGAATTACAACATTATTATATATACATATTTTTTCTTTTCTAGTAATTATATAAAATTTAATAAACACAATATAATTGTTCCCATTATATCGTTTATATATTTTTTAGTACGCATTTCTAAAGGAATTTAATACATATAAACAAAAGATGGATCACTGTGTAAATTATTCGGAAGATCAATATAATAATAAATGCGATAATATTGTTATGGATACTTATGGGAATTCTAATTATGTTTATAAAGGAAAATGCCCCCAAATTATTTGTTATTTAAAATCTATTTTACATGATGATCAAAAAAGTTTTAGTGCAGTCGGTTGTAAATACTTGAATTATTGGGTATATCATGATCTTCTCAATAGGAAATATATAACTGGTATATTATCACTTTATCATTCTTTGCTCACTAATCTTTATAGCATTTTCAGTGAAGAAGCTTTAAAAGATGCTAAAAAAAAATATATTCAAGATATTGATTTGCCAGAAATTACAGCAATATTTAATATGAATTCATGCTTAGATATTAAAAAAAGAAAGGGACAATATGATGCAGGCGATCATTTCTGTAAAGAGTTAGAAGAGTATATATATAAATATAATTCATTAACTAACTATAAAGATAGCATAACTGGTGCTTCCCATAAAATATCACACTGCAAAACTAATACTTCAGCTAATATTATAATTCCAACGATTCTAATATTACTGATTCCAGGGTTCTTATTTACATTTTATAAGGTTAATGACGATGTTATTGTACAAATTTAAAAAAATAAAATAATTTTTTTAAAAAATAAAAATTCAAGAAAAATTGATATAATAAAATCATATTTTTAATGCATAATACATTTTTTTTTGTGTTTATTAAATAGATCACTCCACATAATTCACGTTTTCACCGTGGAATAGCCAATATAATAAATAAATGGTGCAATATCCATCAAATAAAAAGGAATTCATTGCAACAACCTGATACATGCAACAGTATCTTGTGGGAAAGCAGATATAATATGCTGTATAATACAACATAATTATACGATTAAATACATAATACAAATAGATTACTTTGTTTAATGAACGTATAAAATAAAGTAATAATTTTATACAGAAAATTATTTTATTATTAATATCATTTGAATTTAAATTAATTCTTAAAATATAATAAAGCAAAAATACATATTAAATTGTAAATTTAATAATATAAGATTTCACAATATTATTTCGTATTAATATAAATATCCAATGAAACAACTATTTATGAATACATATTTATTCTGCTCTTTATGTTCTACAGTTTTCAGTGTAAAATATTTTAAAGATATAATTTACTATATTATGCATAAATTTATAAATGATATGCAGACTAACTTAATGAATTATATTTTAATTAAAATATTGGAATATAATTTATTACACGTATAAATATTTTCTATATATTTCACCTTATTTCGTAATATAATATCAATGGAAATGTATTTCTTGTTACTGCGTAGACTAATTAATATTTTTTTTTATTAATAGCTCCTTCTATTATTTATATGGTACTTTTCAATAAAAAACATTTGCAGATGTGTATATACATTACTATTTAAAATTTTACTTCATATATATTAATTTTCATATATAAGAAAAAAAATTACAAAGCATAATTTATATTTAAGTTTTATTCTTTTCATACTATTGAATTTAAATCTTCTAATTTGTTCTTCTTGCTGTGCTTTTTACTATTATAAAAAAAAATTATATATTTATATAATATTAGGATAAATTTCACTACACAAACATCGCCATTTAAAAAAAGTAAAATAAAAATATATATTTAATTTTTAAAATTATTATGTCTAAAATAATTTTGTATGTGTAGATTAAATTGATAAACCACCTATGTAATTATTCGAACACTTAGTCATTAGTTTTGTAAATATTTAATATTATTTTATATATAATTATAAAAAGTAGAAACCTTGTATAGTGCTATTTTTTATATTCAAGATGAATGTTAATTAAATTAGGCTAATATACTATTCCCCCAATAAAAATATATATACTAATACATTACAACATATATATTTTTTTCAAGAGAAAATAATTAATGATATGATATGATATTCATTAGAATTCATTTATAATTTTTCTCTTGGTTTTTCCGTTATATCAATATATCATGATTTCAAGGAATACGTTTACGATAATTCATTACATCATTATTAATGCAATTTAAATTACTCAAACATACTTAAACCATGGATCGATAGTTTAAGATTCTAAAATATTTTTATTATCCTACTTAAATTGTGCATCTTTCAGTTTAATTATTTATATAGCATTTAATATATTTTCACTATTTTTAAATTATTCTATTTTAAATAAAAATATAGGAATATTAATTAATTTGGAAAAATGAACTTTTAAATCGTCCCCCATATTTATGATTCTATCATATAAATTAATATTCAATGGTGCATTGTGTAATTATTAGAACTTAATTTTATAACACATATATTTCATGATTCTTTCCAATTCTATGTTTATTTTCTGATATTACAGACTGTTCTTATAATTCCCCTATGATTTACATTTACACATACCTCCTAAATGAATCATTATCAGGAGTATAATTATAGAAATATGTTTCCTCAATTATAAAATTCAAAATATAATGGTCTTATATGGTAATCTTCTAGGAATCAGAACCATATAATTCTAGTTCAGTTATAAATATCATATTTAGACATTTATTGAGTTTTTTCCATTTTATTCCCATTTTTTATAACCTTTAATCAGATAAGTTAGGATAATATAAAAAAACGTGGAATTCACTTATTTAATAAATACAAACATAATATAAATGAAACATAATGATGAACATAAAAATTTATGCTTTTAATTCTAATTTATGTTCACAGGGGAGAAAATGTATAAAAGAATATCTATTCCTAATGCTGATATAACAATGATAAGACTATTAAGATAATATTATTGTAATGTGTTATAATTTTTTTCTATAATAATATATAAAGTAACAATTTTTTTCTTTATTCACTGTTCGGACTCTTCACATTCAACTTGGTGAAAACTTTTTCGTGCAAAATCTAGAATACTTCATCTTTTGCTATTCATACATTTTTAATTCTTTTCCTTCTTCTATTCATATAATATGACTTAAAAAAAGTCATAAAATCACTTGTGTCATGTGTTTCCTTCGAACTAAAACTCTCAATTATATTTAATACCTTTATAATAACCAAAAATTTTATATGTAACATAGTAATTCATATAATTCTGTTTAATATATGTAATGTGTTTTAAATAAATTCTTAAATCATTCATAGCACAATACTTACTTTTAGTATATTCTTCATATTCGAAGTTATTTTGAGAGACTGTCTCTTCATCTTATTGCTCTCGAATTCATTATTCACAACATCGACATATTACTATGTAAGGATAATTTTTAATCAACATTTCTACTTCATAAAAATTTTTATTTCAAATATGTTTACATTCTGCTTCACTTCAATTTTGATTTCTTTCCCTATCTGGAAATAGTTGTACTGTGACAAGCAAAAACATCCATTTGTTCATTAATATTCTTGTTTATGCGATAATTTTTAAAATGTATTTTTAATCTTTACACAAAGAAATTTATTGTCGTAGTTAAATTTTTCTAAATTATCATAGTAATCAGTGTTATGTATTCTAATTTTTATTTTATCAATTATCTTCTCTTTACAGGTAGGGAAATAGCGTAATTATTCATTTATGTAGTCAAAAAAATATGTGTAATACTACATAAATATGAGCTTTGTTAAAAAATTTACTTTTATACTGTTTTTAGAAATATAGAGAATACTCACGTAATTGTCTATTTAAATGTAAAAAGGAAATTATGTTAAATATATGTTTTTTTTATATGTGATAACTACATCAACCAAAGATGTTCGTATGCTTTTGACTGTTTACTAATGGAATGTAATTTCTAATAATGTACTCATACATTATGCATTCGCATAAATTATATATAGAAACGAAGCAATTAATTAAAGGTAGAAATTTTTTTTAATTAGCCAAAATTGTTCTTTTTTACTATTACCACCATAAAAATTGAATAATTTTAATTATTCTTAAATGTTCTGTGGAAATTATTTTTGCTCCAAATATAAAATTAATATCGTACACTATGGCTCATTTATAGTTCCTAAAAAAAGAAATAATTTTTATTTACACATAGCAAAAATAGAAACATGTTCATGCAATTATTATGTGTGTCTATTCAGATTTTATGTATTAAAATACCATATTATAATTATAACAAATATATTTTAAAAGGATAAATGGTATATTGATTTTGAACTAAAGGATTTTAGTATTTTTTATTTTTATATTACATTTTTTTCGCATATTCTGCATCTCCATTATTTATGTATTTTTTTAAGAACAGATTTATACAAAATTTATAAAATTTACAAAACAAGCAAATTAGGTATACACTATTAATGCACAGTAGATTAATTTTATTTACTCCATTAAAAGTGTAAGGCGTATTATAATATATTATGTATTGTGTTTTTGTTGTATTCAATACCCTTACCATCACAATAAAGCGTAGGTTCTCAGGGCATAAAATTTGCAAAACCAGAAAAAAAAAATTTATTCGCATGTATTCATTTTTTTAAAATGTAGAATATAAAGTTTTAAGGATTAATATTTTTTATACACACAAATTAAATGTTTGTGAATACTCATTCTGTAAAAAAAAAAAATAAATAATATTTTTCTGAATTAAAAAATACAAAAATATCATTATATAGCAGTACCTTTATTCGAACAAATATAATTGCAAAACTACAATTATCAAAAATCTCATATATTGCTATTTAAAGGAACTTAATTATATTGATAAATAAAATACATCTAGCATGTTATTTTTCTATATATTTAATTTATTTATTTTTCAAATAACCATAAAAGTTCTAAATATATTTTATTAAAAAAAAATAATAAAGAATATATTTATTAAATTTCTTTTATTAAACTATGAATACAATTAAGCATGCGCATTTTACTGTTTTAATAGAAAACAATATAAAATAATTATCGCAGAGAATTTAAAAATATCCTAGCCTTATGTATATGTAAATTCAACATACAATTAATAGCTTTTTTTAAAAGAAATTTATAGTAATTATTATTACATATATTAAATTGAATGCTATTTTTTTGACTTTTCCCAAGTGTGCATAAATAAAATTTGAAGTGATATTTTATTCTATTTTTCTCCATTATATTTATAGCGTAAGTCACATTTATTTTTACATATTAGCTATAAATATATTATTTTACTTATATTGCACATTCTGTTATTCAATTATCCCTTAACATATTAATATATTTGCCCTTATATATTATTGCGAATTAATCTTATTGAGATTTTTTTTGATGCTTTTATATCATCTAACATTAGTGGTATCTATTATACAAATAATTTAAATAATAATGAAAAAAACAACAATGAAATCATTATAATTGATGTGAGGTACATAAACTAACAATTTACAAAAATACTTGCATTCCCTCTATATGTGTACATAAAACTTTGAAATGATTTAAAACCATGAAAGTTTATATGGAATAAATTTGTTTTTTTCCAACGTCTCATTAAAATTGAATAATAACAATTAATATGCTTGGAAAAGCTCAAGAGTGTTAATAAAGTTATTTTTTATATTGTGTTTATAAGAAGATATTTTCCTTAATGAGTAGTAAAACCTTAATTGCATTTTGAAGCGTAATAAATAAACTTTGTTGCTAGATACATAGGATAATAGCTGAACATTCATGCAATCAAAATTTCTTAATTAAGTTACTTGTAAAAGACATTGAATATGATCATTTATTTACTATATATTAAAACTATTGAAAAACACAAAAAAAATTATCTAAACAGAATATTATATTTTTAAATGAATAGACACATTTATATGGCAGAGAATATATAGAAAATATTTAAAAAGAAATCTAAAAAATTGAA